GTTATGAGTCCATATGAATAAGGGCATATCCCATCACCAACAGTCAAGTCCAAATCAACATAAATAATAGTCCCATAAATAATAGTCAACAATACATTGCCTACAGTGCAAGTCCATATGCATAAAGGCATGTCCCATCAATGACGGTCAACGCTATATAAGTGAGTCGGCATGAACAAGAGCATATCCCGTCAACAACATGACATCAGTCAACTTGGAACTTACTTTTCATGTTAAAAAAAAAACCCACCCCTTTAAAAGGACCAAATTTTCATTGGAGTGCTAAATAACATGATAATTCAGCGTTCCTGAATTATGATGAGGATGATGAGGATGATAAAATGGTGCCTACTTTGGGGGAATCTTCATTAATATTTCCTGCCATAATGGAGAGAGCAGAGATCTGCTTCCGCTGTGCAAGAGGTTGGCCGGGTGGAGGTAGGGGGGTTGTCTTGTCTTTTGCGTCTTTTGTCTTCTCATCCAGAATGCTTCTGTCATCCTTCTAAAACCCAGCATGACTTTGTACGATGCGAGCGTCCGTCCCGGGTCCTCCTAGACTTGATTCAAAGAACCAAGGATGCAGTCCGAGAGTTGGATAACCTTCAGTCTCGGAAAATGAACAAAATCCTTTTCCAGGAGGTCTACAATGGCCCTCTGAACGAGTCTCAGGAAGACGAGGAGGTATTCAAATTTATCTATACCGCCGATGGTGATAATAATAATCACATTAATGGTCAAAGTAACGTGTCTTCCTGCTTCACAGGGTCCCTGCCGAGTCCCTTTTCCTGGGTTCCCAGCACAACATGAGGAATGTGCTTGGGAACAAGACTGTCTTACCTCTGACTTCTGGGGGCGTTGATGCTCTTGAGACAGTCCTCAAGACAGATGGCAACAGAACATCTGAAGCAAATTAACTTTGGTCTCAGTTTTGGGTCACGGCTATGGAAACCAGGCCTCAGTTAGATCCAAAACATTGACTGTGTTTTCCCGAAAATAAGACACTGTCTTATAATTTTTGCCACCAAAGAAAGGCACCAGGTCTTATTTTCAGGGGACGTCATCCACTAACTAACCTCACTTGCGCACATGGCCCCCGGTCTCCTTTTCCCTGTCAGAAGCCTTCAGGAACTTCTTCTGCAGC